AGGATCCAAGGACGAAATAAGCTTTCGATTAACCAGCGTCCCGTTTCGTGTGCCAGTTAGCGAGAAGAGCTCTCAGCACTTCGACGCGATACTAGATTCCTGCGTTTACACTAGAACAAGAAAGAAGAGGAAGGAAAAGAAAGAATGAACTTCTTTTCCGCTTTCACTGTGTATGGGCTGCAAATCCTTGTAGCCCGATAGTACAGACAACGTTCCAAGTTTCGTTTGTACTTTATCGTTACGAAACTGTGGAAATGCGTGTACTGACCTACCCAGGTTTTCTTTTGCCAAACCTTTCTTTCAAGCGATCCGTCCTCCTCGTCGCAGCAAAGCATCCGAGAAAGTTAGATTACTGTCCTCCTCAATCTTGCAAGTGAATTTCAACAATGGGCGCGCGTTGTTAAATCGATTCAACAGGTATAAATACCAGTATGAGAGTTGCAAACAATAAACGTATCATCCATGTAGCGTTTGTAATAATCAAAGGATGTGATTAGGTGTCTGATAGGTCCGCGTTCAGCTTTTGCGAGCAAAATGTCTGCAAGCGGCGGTTCTAGGAGCGATCCCATCGCAACACCGTCTACTTGTCTATGGTATTTTCTATCAAATAATAGCTGTCTGTTAGACGTACAACGCAGAATCAGCTCTTTCACATTACGAACCGGGATTGGAAGAACAATGTTGCTTTCTATTAGGTATTCACAGATGAAATTGATCGTTTCTAGCAATGGAACGTTCATAAAGTGAGGTTCTACATCCAAGGAGAGCATCAATTTTTCTTTCACATTTAGGTAACCTACCTGTTGGATACACGAAGGTGTCACTCACTGTGTGCCCGGACAGTACGTGCTACTTCGATAACTTCCACAAGCCACTTGACGACTGAGTGTGTAGCAGACCCAGACATACCGATCACCGGTCTTAGTGGGGTGTTAGGTTTGTGGACCTTTGGCACCCCGTCGAGGCGTGGTAAATGCGAGCCACAAGGTGTTAATCGCTCAAGTATGGAGCTATCGATGTAGTTACCGCGTTTTAGTTCTTTCAACGGGTTGTTTATTTCGATCTCGTCCTGTACTGTGTATACTGAATCAAGCTCGAATTTGTTGGAATCCTGCAAGATCGTATGCATCTTTGACATGTAGTCATACTTGTCCATTATTACCCGACCTAATCCCTTATCTGGCTTGGTGAGTATAACCTCTGGATTGGTTGTCAATTCTTTTATCGTTTCTCAATGTGCATTGGTGATTACTTTCGAGGATTGTGCCCTGCTGCTCCAATATCTCTGTGAAAGATGCACCAAAGTAGTTCTGAAAGAGTCATGAGCTCGGGAAGACGTAAGCTTTAATTCGGTCAGTTGATGCATTAAACTCTCGAACTGTGTCTCTAAATGCAATTGTGTCCTACCTGGTCGCAATGCACAGAATTTTGGTTCCAATGACGGAGCTTCAAATTGTACTTTTTGGACGTCTCGTTCTGGGTGTGTTGGAAATTCCGATTCAGGAACCTTAGGCGTCAAACTGTCTAGCAGTTTCATGTACTTTCTCTCTTCTGTCTTTGCGCATACGTCGGACATGTAATTTAGAGACAGCTTCTGTCCGTTCTCGTTGAGTTCATCCACGGATACTTGGTAGTGCGAGCAAAGCCGCTCCAACTTCGGAACTCGTGACTTAGCACCTTCCAGAAGATTGTAAGCATGCCTTTTTAAGGACTTGCTAGTTGGACATCGCTGTAGGGCTTCCCAGTATATCTTGGGATATTGGTTTCTTTGTATACACTCCTTTATGAATCGAATCTCAGTCTTCGCGTGCGATCGGTTAAGACTCCCGAACTCATTTGAATAGTCAAGGAAAAGAAGTTGTACGGACCTATGCTTTTTATCCAGCGTAGAGCGCTGAAGTCTAGACACAAACTGGTAGATATCAGCACGTGTAGCTGTGGAAATTCTTGGGACTAGTGGTTTTTCGTGGACTTCTAAGAGCACAGAAGTACAAGCGATTGGCCGCTATTTTCTAGACTTCTTTTTAAGAACTGGCATTATTCTGGCTGACCTCCACCTATCGGGGATGGCACCAGTCGTGTGACACTTGTTAAAAATATCAGTTAAGGATAATGTTAGGGAATCGGCGCACTGCTTCCAAACCACAGGTAATAAACCACCAGGGCCGGTAGCTTTATTTGAATTTAGCTTTTTGAGTTCTTTGTTGACCTCATCTTGATCAAATAAGGCTGTTGGACCTGAGCTAGTGAAGAAGGGAAATGGAAAAGCGCTCGACGGAGAGTAACTAAACCCAGAATTGCTTTTGTCAACATCCACTATTCCTGTACAACTGATGGTACTTTTACCACAGATTTGCTTCAACAACCTCCAGAGATCCCGGTAGCTGCTGTTTCCCAATACCATTTCACTGTATAAACTGTTTAGCCTTGCTATTTCAACTTTAAGTACCAAAGTCAGGCGTTTTACGCGGGTGCTCACTTTGTGCTCGTAAGCACGTTCGTTTTCCCTCTGTTTTTTTTCAGCAGTGGTGATGAAAATACATCCGCTCGCAAATAAATCCTATTGATAGGGCCGCATAGATAGAAGCCATAATTTACGTAACTCGTGAGATGATCGCATTAAAGTGATAGATTTACATCTGTGAAGACTGAAAAATCGGTTGAAGAAAGCGTTGCTTGAAGTCGTACCATATCTTCCGCCGAGCATTACATCGTCGGATAGTCCTGAATTGTCGTTTCGTCAATGCTGCATAGTTCGTTTCACTGTAGATGATAGAGCAAATCTTTAGTGTACAATGGTGCGAGTTCATTAGTAGGGCACGCTTTTGAATGGAAAACAAACGGATTTTGTTTGTGTAAGCAACATGCAGCTGTGTGTCTCGCCTGCTCAGGAAAGTTGCTAGATTTGCCAAATCAAGTAACTTGAAGAACGTGCAGAATTCATCAGCAATATGCCTGTACGCAGTACCGACACTCCGCTGCCGCGCAACCACCACCGGTCGTGGATGGGCTAAAGATACTGCGAGAGTCACTCTGCCCCTACGCAGGTTCGAACTCGCGCTGTCAGACTACAGGCTCGTTACTCTTAGGCTACGGACCGGTTGAAGAACGTTGTGTCACATTTATTAAAATCACCGGTAACAATGTAGACAGAGCATTCTAGTTTCGGCAGTAATACCAAAGAAGGTTGCTCAATAAAAAGCCTAAGTTCGGACGATGATCTGTCAGGAGCAATGTAGAAGTTTCCATATAACAACAGATTGAAAACCATTAAGCAATTTAGGCTTGCATTCATGTCAATGACAGCTAACAGTTTGTAGAGTGAATAGTTGGTTGATTGAGTTGCACCAGGGTTGGTTAATGTACGTGATGACGCCTCCAACACTATTCCTTGGATTGCCCGGGCGATCGGACGCAATTGTACAGTGTCCACTATGTAAGACAGAGATCTGAGTTTGGTACCTTTTATGGTAATTTACCCCACATACTCGGTAGCAACTGGTGTGGTTTATCGGTTCTGTCCATACAGTCCGCAAATCAGATAGCGTGCGTCACAGACTCATTCCAATCCTACGACACAGGCTACAATTCATGCAGGATTCTCAAAGGCCGTTGTTCACGATAGTGGAAAACAAGCTCTGAAACTTTCCGTTTTCCACTTTATCAACTAGTTTATTTGTGTCGCGGTGATTTTCATCTAGCCAGACCTTGCCGCTTAATGGACAGTGGACTAGCAATTTAGGCGACTGTGGCTATTAGTTACAGCAAGACCATCAACTTGGTTTGCACACGAAAATCCTTTGTCTTCTGATGCTTACTGCACCTTTTCAGCATATTGTCAGTAAAGTGATATCTTTCTGTTAAAATGTCGTACTTGTTACGATTCTCCTAGTCGGAACGGACAAATGTGTTTGGTGATAGTACCCCACGCGCAGAGTAGCCGATTGAGTTCCGATCGACGCGGACTAACAAACCTAGCTGCTAGACGTGTGTACTCACAGTCTGAGTCTAGAGGCAAACGGGCAGCCCCACACAACTGCACTCGAGACTCAGCGAAGAAAGACGGGTCGATAGCAAGACTTTCTTTACGGACCCAGCAAAACACGAACGCCTTATGCGCCTTCGTACTTTAACTCATTAACATGACCACGTGGTGCACACCCTATAATAATAATAATAATAATAATAATAATAATAATAATAATAATAATAATGTGTCAGCTGTACGCCGTAACGGCGCTTCGCTGCCGCGCGACCACCACCAGTCGCGCGCGGGTTGAATATACCGCGAGGACGCCCACCCCTACGCGGATTCGAACCGGTGACCTTATGGTTGCAAACCAAGCGCGCAGACCACTCGGCCACCGGCCGACTGTGTGCACCCACTATAGAGGAAGCTGAGTGATGCTATGATACTTGTGTTTCTATGTAACGGCAGTATCACTGTGGACAGGTCAGATGGAGCTTTCTGTGTCCCATTACGTAACGCGTACCGGAAAACACTTGCATTCGACAGGAGCCACTCATTGTACGCCCTCAATTGCATTTTACGCTCCTCACTTGTCTTAACTACATACCATGTGGAATTGTTGTCACCCTCTTAAGTGTTGCATTTGAACGCTGTTAGAGATTACACATTGCTATTTTCACCTTAATCTGGTGGCAAGGATTTCTTACCCTTCCGATCCAACGAAAGTGGCGCCTTGACTATTTACAAGCATGGATTCATTCATGGGTTCTCTTCATTCCTTGTTGCTTCTCACCTGTTCTTTCTTTTTGTACTCTGCTTCTGCGTTGAGTGGGCACCGTCTCAAGGTCACGCTGCATGAACCCTTAATCTGCATGTGTAACACATGCACATCTTTTCCTACTAATTGCAATTAGTAGCTTTGTGAAAACACCTCCAGCTGGTTTTACTTATTGCATCATTTTTCTCCCTTTATGTTTCTACGTTATTATATACTGCCACTCTATCCCATTTTCTTTTGTTCTCTACACAGTAACATGGCCGCATCGTCTGATGCTCAACCTGGATGGAGGAATAATCGGACTTCTCAGCGCACACGTCACAGACCCCCAGTTAATTCTCGCCAACGCGGAATGAATAATGGAGATGCGGCACTTCCTGATTCAAACACCAACAAGGATCAACAATCAGATCAAGCAACAGCTCGAGAACAAGCCGTACTTTCTAATGCCCCGAGGCCTGATCAAGGGGCAACCAGAGCTTTTTCCAGACCACAGAATCGCAGACCCCAGTACAATCAAACTAACAATAGTCTTGCGCCGAAATCTGGTGAGTCTTTTTCGTCCTTTTGCTAGGCTCATCTCCCTTTTCTCGGAATTTCCGAATGGCTTTCTCAGCTCCACTCTATCAGTCACCGCTCGCGCCTGCAGCAGTTTCCTTGTACGTCTTCCACGCTAAAATGCGACCAACTCCATTTTATGCGAGCCTCGTTTAGCTTCTCTATTGTAGTTGCCTCTTAGGGGCTAATTCACTTACTGCCTGTAGATTTTATCGCAACTAGCTTCAGAAATCCGTGAACTACTAAACACGAAGCTAGGCTCTTTTTTATTCTTTGGTTTCTACGAAAAACCGCTGCTTGGTGTATCCAACTTCGTTCATCTACCGTGGCTTACACCACGAACGACCAGCTCACTGGTTTCCGATTTGATGGTTTATCTCTCTCCTTTGGCGGCACACTATGAACCACCAGTTTTTGTTCACCGGCCTGGTCAGTTTGTTGCCATCAACGAGCAGCGTTACATTTGTTTGGCTGACACCTTTGACTATCGAGCGCACTTCTCATTACGCGGTTTACCTCCTGCGCACAATTGGGCGGCTATCCGTCTGTTTTCCGCTACTGTAGTCAGGCGGTCAATCGACTTGTGGCCGTTGTTAAGTAATTCATTGTGTATTTCGTGCACACAAATTGCCGCGTTTTCTTGCTCACTTCTCACTTACTTCATCCCTCCAGACGCGTACGTTTCCCGGCGCTTTCAAGAGCACGCTTTGATAAATGGATCTGTGGAGCGCGATGAGGGTGATGCAGCGTGTGTGAACGGAGCGGCGCAAAAGCCTCTGAATACGTGCAGTTCTCAACAACAGCCCGAAGTTGACCATGCTTCCGTATCGAAACCGTTATCCAGAGCCGTATGACACCAGTCACCGCTGCTGACGCCAACTCGTTGCCTTAGTTTGTGTCCATCGGTTGATTGCACCAACCCCGCTCCCTGACCTTGTTTTATCCGCATTTATTCTGCTACATCTGAGACATCCTAGTGGTGCGCGCGTGATGCTCTCCTTTCCTATTCAGACCCGATTAAACTAACCCGTTACTGCCTTTGTTGCTGCTGCTGCTACTTCTACTGTCACTGCCATTTTTGTCGGGATGACGCGTCGTTTTCTCGGCGAACGTAGCTCACCGGTTTCTTTCTTCCTCACTTGTCTCACTCCAGCCGCCGTGTTGCTTTTGCCTGATCCGCTTTCTTCTAGCTCAGGGCGAAGGCTTGATTGTTGTTACGCTGACTTTCGCATGCCTTGATGGGGATTAGAGATGAATTGATTCGTCGCTAGTTTGTTTTCCTGTACAAATCAGACTGGTTCTTACAGTTTGCTGACTACTGTATCGTTTCCAATTCCTTTTGTTCGCTTTCATTGAACTCCTGAACTTGTATGGTGCTTTCCCTTAGGTTGCTAAACTGATTCTGGATTCCGGTGGGCTTTTTATCTTTTTTGCTGGTAGCGATTGCGTGCCACCCCCATTCGCCTGGCTTATGATGTGTTCCTTGATACCTCATCCCTATTTGATTTACTTCATTCTGGATACTCAGCTTTCAGTTGGTTGGAGTCATCCATACTCGTTTTATGCCATTTAGATGCTGCATGTGAACGTATTCCGACATCGAGCGCACTTGTTATCGTACCGGTAGGCGTAGCATGTATGAAGGTTAGGCGTGTACAACGCGTTGTGGGTAACGAACTGGACTGTCTTGTTATGCATTACCGTCCTAACTAGTAGTCAACTTCAGATTCCGTTAGTTTCTAACCCCGTTCTTGTTGGCAACTGTAAGTTCCTCTGTTCTCGTGGAAAAGCACCACCTGTCCACAGGCAGTTAAACAGGGCGATATTTCGACAGTAATCATTCTGTTTTTCGAGTTCTTCCCAGGGCTATGGATTGTCCTAGCCTCGCTACCGTCTACCAGCTTCGCCTACAACGATGACTGGACTGGCAACGGTCGTTGTGCGAAAATCCTTCAACCAGTTCAAAATTATCAAGTGTCCAGGATGTGTGTGCAAACGGCCAGTAAATCCAACTGACCGCATCCCATTACATTCTCACAAAAACGACGGCATCGATGGTGCTGCTTGACATTTTTTACCACCCAGTCTACTGTCTATCTTTGGGCCGTGTCCGGTCCGTTGCGTCGTTTCTGTCTTAACACGGGGGAATGGTGCACTATTCTTCTAAACTGAGATAGCAGTTCGTTGCGTCTTGAAATGAAGCTTTGGCACGTAATCATTTTTGTTCCATTCCAAGGGTTGACACAGCAATGTCGCGACCTTCATTTTCTCATTTTGAAACTCATTTTATCTTCGCTTGACTTCCTGTCATCTTCAGCCTGTGCTTACTTTTTTGCGTTTCAAGTGTTGCTTGTACGCTCAAGAGCACACATACACACATCTCTGCAAAATCGATCACATCTAGTCCGGTTTGTCACGTGCTGTAACGGTGCACTCGCATTAGCGGTTGCGTAAACTAAACCTTCGTACATCATCGACCCGATTGTGATAAAATGACAACCGCCTGCTATGCGCGTTGGCACATGAGGTAATCTTGCCAGAACACCAGCAGCTATCGGGTGCCTTCAAGGCAGCATGCATCAGGTTAACATGCGTACCTTAAAGAATGCACTTGGTCAGCACTGTGAGGATTTTGTGCTTATTTGGAAACGCATCTCAAACCAAAGATATGCTCATTTGACGTGCTGTTCGCGACGAGACAGGACCTTAACGTGGTGCGATGGTTTGTGTGCCTCAGTGTTCCATTAACCTATGCTGGGTGGGGCTTTTTGCACCTTCAGACCCACTCATACCAGATTGGTCAATGGTTAGAGACCAGACAAACTCAGTCTCCTGGCCCTCCAGGTTGGAGGTTGGAATGAGGGTGGCAACTTATTCCTTAAAACGGACTCCTTGTAGCCTATCGAAAAACCCGCTGCCTTGCGGTCAGGTTTTTTAACCAAAGGCTTTGGTTGAGAACCCTAACGTTTTCCTGTCTAGGCCTGGGCAACCTGACAGTATTCTGCCCACGCAATACAATGAACCTTTTTTCTAACGATTTCTTGATGCTCTGGACATCGCAGAGGATAATCCACGGCGCCCTATCTGCTGCATCGAGCAGGGTGGAGAGAGGGTTGGATGCTACTGCTCAGGCCTTCCCGTCTTCTTATCCCCCTTCCTGTGCCTTTTCATCCTTATCGTCCCGCTCCAACTTTACTTTTCCCCAATTTTCAATCCCTCAATTCTCGGCCCTTCCCCACCTTGCCTGAACAGTCGCTTGTCTTTTAGTTTCGAATCAACCGCAGTCGCAGGACATCATTTCATTCCAGTGGACAAGTCCATATTCAACCAAGCGGACAACGTCAGTTCATCCGTTTCCCTTTGTAGTCCTCGCGCCTCGCTAAGACTGTCATGCCTCAACGTGCGCACTTTGCTACAGATTGGCCAACAGACAGCACATGCCTGCACACTAGAGACCCTATCGATCGATATTTGCTGTTTAACATAAACCCGCCTGCAAGATTTGAGCTCCGTGCTTACCCTGCGAGCCCCCACATGCGACACTGGCGGCACATTCTCATTGCGCCTGTCTGGCGATGATGCAGCTTCAAATGCCGGTCAAGCTGGCGTCGGCGTTGTTTCGAGTCCCCGGGCTTAAGCTGCCCTGATCGATTGGATCCCAGTCAACAGTGGGATGTGCGCCATTAGATTATCTGGTTCCTTCTATGCTACGAAATAGCGAGGGGAAACACACGGTTCTTGCTTGTCATTGCGGCCTACGCCCCCTAGAAACTGTAGTACTGATTCGGTGAAAGATGATTTCTATCAGCAACTTCAAAATCTGCTTCGTTACATACGAAGCACGGATACTGTGGTGTTGGCTGGCGATCTAAACGCCCAAGTCGGAAAATGATCCTCTGATGAGCGTCATCTGGGGGGGGGGGCAGCATGGTGTAGACTCCCGTAATGATAACCATGAGCAATCGCTACAGCTGTGTGAAGATGCTCGTCGCTTTCTCGCGAGCACTAACTTTCGACACAGCACCCTCAGAAGCGTGATTTGGCGGCCACCAGCTTCGCACCAGCCTTGGACGCAAATTGATCGTATCGCGATCAGTTACCCCTGGAGAGGCTATGTCGCTCGATTCGGAGCACGAGCGTGGACTCTGACGACGCACATGTGTGCGTGGGTGCGTTTTGGTGGACGTCCGCAACATCGATATGAACGGATTGACATCCGCCAGCTGGCGAAACCTGGTGTTCTGAATGTGTATCAAAGGGCGTTGACATCCGGGCTCAGTAAGCGCCCACTGAACACCGTCGAAGATCACTGGCCGCATATTCGTCAGATGTTAGTATCAGCAGGCAAATCAAATTACCACATTGGACATTGGATCTCTACACAGTCTGGAAGTTATGGATGCTCGCCGACGTATTCCGGATGGAAGCGAATACTATGAGACTCGCAAAAACCTCAGGGCGAAACTGCGTGCTAGTCTGAAGAGAGACCGCGAAGCCTGGTGCTCTCATCGTGCATCGGAAATGGAAACCGCCACTGCCGTTAGTAACCATCGTAAGTTATTCCGTCTGATACGGGAAACAGGTAGCAGGAGACAACAAACAGAAACTCAAAAGTCTTGATCGATAAAGTCAACTAACCGTATGTGACAAAGCGCGAGTTGCTTGGTCGGTGGGATGCCAAGTGCATCATCCGATCACTGTAGGCGCACGAAGTGATAGAAGTTGGTAAGCCAATTAGGGCCAAGGTAAGAGAAGCCTTTGCAGCAAAGCCTTCTGTTTGTACAACTCCGGTTGAAGTGTCCTAATCGCGATTACTTTGGCCGTCCGTAAGATTTGCTTCCTAAGATCTTTACTGTACCGTTGCCGTACTACATAAAGCAGTTGGAAGGCAACAAGGTTAAGAATTCGGTGTCCGCTTTCCACCAGAGGTTCCGGGATGGAACTATTATCTTGTTCGCTGCTTGTATCTTCATGCTACAAAAATTTGCAGACAAGTGACGTTTGAGGCTGGAAAATCCGTATTCTCAAAACGCTGCAAGTTAAAGGTTGCCCGACACTATTCATCGAAAAGTATGCAGTGATCTACGATAGTCGTAAAGTGATTATTAATGTCCCTAAGAAGGAAGTTTTCTTATCAGTTCCCTTTAAATGCGATGTTGTCTTTGATCTGCTGACCAGAAGTATTTCCAGTGCACTGTCTCGAACCTTCCCGGTCGTCTGCCCCCACGTCCTTGCAGAAACCGCTCTCTTTATAGTCCAGCGCATTAAAGACAGACTTCCGGTTCAGTCCCAACCTTATATCAGTTTACCTGCGCATGTGGTGCAAGGTACGTGGGACAAAACTAGGCTTCTGTCTAAACGTATTGCGGAGCACTTCCCAGCGGCTTTGCGGAAAGGCATCGTCAGTCTCCCCAACAGTTCTATCCTGGAACCTCTGGTGGAAAGCGGACACCGAATTCCTAACGTTGTTGCCTTCCAACTACTTTATGTAGTACGGCAACGGTACAGTAAAGGTCTTAGGAAGCAAATCTTACGGACGGCCAAAGTAATCGCGATTAGGATAATTCAAACGGAGTTGTGCAAACAGAAGGCTTTGCTGCAAGGGCTTCTCCTACCTTGGCCTTAATTGGCTTACCAGTTTTTATCACTTCGTACACCTACAGTGATCGGATGATGCGCTTGACATTCCACCGATCAAGCAACACGCGGTCTGTCACATACGTTGTTAACCGACTTTATCGATCAAGACTTTTGAGTTTCTCTTTGTTGTGATTCCACTATTCCCACCTCTTTAGCTTCACCAGCTGTTTTTGCTCTTCCTTTTTATTTTATAATTGTAAATGCCTGAGAAGCTTTGTCGAAAAGAGCACTCCGCAAAATTGTCTTCTTGCATTTCCATAAGATTTGCGGTATTTCTTCTTGTAGTCCTTTGCAATTACAAGCCTGTCTTGTTGTCTGTAGTCGCGGTTTCGAATTTGTGTTGGGATCCGGGTGAGCGTTGCAATAGTTTTATCCCGCGCGCGACTGGTGCTGGTTACGCGGCAACGACGCGTCGGTACTGCGTACCGCCATACACTTGATGATCCTTGCCTGGATTCTACTATCTGTAAATCTTGATGCGTAGGACAGCGTGGTGCGTGTTCTGCGCATTACATTTGAAGCTGCCACTCAAAATTTTTGCTCTTGTTGCTTATCATTATAATAAGGTATATTTCTCCTTGTACCGAGAAACCGGGCCCACAAAGGGGCGGAGGAACAACGTACCTTTGGTACTATGAACAAGTAACTTGAGAATCGTTAGGCCTTAAAGGCCGCCTTAACAGACTGGGTGGAGGCTGTGCTGTAATGGTTTGCCCTTCTGATTCACCATCACCGTTTGGTGTATTTCTGCATATTTTCGTTTGCATGCGCTCAAATTCGCAACCGTTTGACCTTGGATCTCTCTGTGTTAATTGATACGCCCCGGATGTTTAAGTGTGGTTGCTAGCTAATTTAACTATTTTTTTGTATTTTCTGAGACCTAGAAGTAGTTGCAGTGTTTTCTTCTCCATGCCTGAGAAGCTTATCCGTTAAAGTGGTGCTATTGATCATGCAGTGATTGG